GCCCGCCGCATGTTCAACGAAACGATCTCGAGATTACAAGCCATCGGCGGCGTCCTCACACCAATCGACTGGTCGCCCTTCCAAAAAGCCGGTCAACTACTCTACGACGGCACCTTCGTATCCGAACGCCTCGCCTCCCTTCCAGACAACTTCCTCGAGAAAAACCGTTCAGCCCTCCACCCCGTAACAGCACAACTCATGGACGCCGTCGTCGCGCGGAAGAGCTCAGCCGTAGACGCTTACCGCGACCTGCAGGCCCAAGCCCTTTACACCCGACAAGCAGAGAAAGTCTTCGCGTACTCTGCATCTGGTGTTGATGTCGTCGTTGTACCGACGACGCCGACGCACTGGCGCATAGATGAGGTGCTGGCGGATCCGATTAAGAAGAATAGTATTCTGGGTGAGTTTACGCATTGTGGGAATGTGCTGGATCTTTGTGGTGTGGCGGTGCCGGTGGGGACTTATTCGGTGAAGGAGTTGAGTGGGAAGGAGGGGGATGAGGGGGTTTTGCCGTTTAGTGTTACGTTTTTGGGGGGTGCGAGGTTGGATGCTGAGGTTTTGGAGGTTGCGAGGCGGTTTGAGGGGGAGGGTATGAAGTGAGACAGCCCTGCTTCTGTTGGATTCCGAATGGAGGCTGTATAGATCGCGCGCAGGTATCGTATGTTGCGGCTCAGTACGCTCGTCGAGCTCAGAGTAAGACAATGAGAAGATGTTCAAAATGTCTCACAACCCGGACAGCATTGTTTCCGGTCCCACCCCTACCTAAGAACTGGAGACATGACTTACAATGTATCACTCCCAGCAAAGTCCTTGTCAATCCAATATCTTAGACTTCCATTCACCAGATTGTATATTGCCTACCACACGGCTCAATAGGAAGCAGAAAGCAACATCACCCGTTCAAGGTATCTTCCAAAAGCCCACAACCGCCCTCCAAAAGCCATCATTTCCACCACGAAGCCAATGTCATGCCCTCAAACACCGACGCAGCAGACTCTCAGCTCACTGAGCTCGCCAACTCTTCCACGCAGGCCAACGACGCAAACCAGCCTCATACCATCAGTTTAATCCACCAGCAAAGCAATGGCGTTCAACACTCGCCTACTCAACCACAACCTCAGTCTATCAGCTTCTTCCGCCCGCGCAGTTCAACTCTTCCGCAGCGCAGAGCCAATCGCTCCCATTCTGTCTCGCTACCTCCGCGCAGTCCTTGCCACCCATTCGTTCGCCTGAACTACCTCTCCCTAGCTATCACGAGGAAAACTGAAGCACTGGACCTACACAAATACAGCGAATACTTAGAATACATACGCACTCATCTCGCCCTCAACAAGGATGCAGACACTGGATCAGGCTCAGGAACGGACGCAGATGCAGACGCTGAAGGCCAAAACGGCCGTGGGCAAGGTGTGTAAGTTTCACGGGATGAAGGTGATGGAGGACAAGAAGACAGAGAGATGGGGGCAGTGAAGGAGTATGTGATGGAGTGTTTCGTTGAGTACTTGTAGTCAGTCATCGTAGTCCAAAATTGTTTCATGGATGACATAAATGTCGACGATACAATTACCGCGAGCGCTCGTCGCATTCAGATGAGATGATACATGTATACCCTGATATCTCACTTCTACATTTCACTTGTCTCTCAAAGTGCCCAAGAACAAATCTCAAGGCTTCTAGAAGCATCAATCGCAATGTATCAACAGCGTTCTTGCCAAACCAATGTCTTTGAGAATGCGTTTGCTCGACAATACAATAACCCCGAAGATGCCCAAAATGAAGCAGAAAGCATATCTATTATTTGACGTATCTTATAAACACTCTCAACAATGGACGGCGTAGCCAGGCCCACGTCTCGATGGGGAGACTACATAGTCACATTCTGTTACAAACCCGTGATGATAATCTACAACAAAGACCAGCCCATCGTCATCCACGACATCGATCCCAAAAGCAACCGACTCCCTGCTGAGAGCGCCAACCGCTTAAAATACTACCGGGTCCTCCGTGAGCTTGTCTCAACAACCCAGCTATCTCGCCCTCACACACCCGAAAGCACATGTTCTTCTACATCTTCATCTTCGTCATCATCATCAACTCCATCCTCTTCTTCTTCACCCCCTCTCACAACCTATTCTCACTCCTCATCTCCCTCCTCCATCTCCCAATATGAAGACACATACCCAAACGCAGAGAACATTCCCATCACCCCATACGCCATCTCCCCCACAATCACCGCCCTAGACCTAGCCACCCCCGACAACCCTTTCCAGTTCCTGCGCACCCACGTTCGCCCTTCAGGAAAACGTAAAAAGAAGCAAAACGAACGCTGCCATCCCAATCTCGACCAGATATGGGACGAGTCATGGAACAAATTCATCAACAGGAAGAAGCCAACATTACCTAGATGCCTGTATGGCAGTAGGTCGAAACTGGACCAACGGGGGGATGATCGGGTGGAGCTGGTGTGTTGGTTTCATAGGTTGAATGTGGGTAGGGAGAGGGATGATTATCGGCGGGACAGGGGGAGGAGGATGGGGTGGTGAGGGAAGGGTGTGAGAGAGAGAGAAGTTGGATTGAGGATGGGTAGCTGGCATGGGAGTGTGCGTCGATGTGGATCGAGGAAGTTGTTACGTATATCGACGTGGATGGTAGAGCGAGAGGGGAAGTCGTGTGGATAAGAATGTGCCGATTGAGTCTGGTCTGTTTGCGCATGGACGAGGAAAAGTGCTCGCTCACACACAAACAGTCCAGACTCAACCGTCACAAAACAATCTGATAATTGCCCTAGTGATAGATAGAAAATGCTATGCACAAGAAGTACCCAAAACCAACGCGGACCATGCCGCTATGCCAGAAAAACCCCAAATTATGTAAATCCAAAACCCAACAAACACCACGCTTCATGTACAATCATCTCAAACCACCATCATCCCCTACAAACTCAGCGCAACAGCCGCAAATAACGCCACAACAAAGCTAATCGTCGCCCCGCTCTGCAACTTCCCACCCGCGCTATCCCCATGAATCCCCAGAATCTCCGCTTGGCGCGAAAACGTAACATTCTGCGGAATACTCTCATTCAAACACTGTCCATTAACAATGTCCAAACCAGCAAGATCATTCGGCTCACGGAAGAACATATAACTCCTGTTGTTCAATCCCTTGAAACCCTCGGTGTTGTACGGGAACCACATGTCTGAATCCGTAGCCGAAGTATTCCGCAGGAAAATGCATTGGACTTGGTTGGGGTAATCGTGAGCGAGTTCAGGATACGCTTTCATGACATCGCTGTTTGAAGTATCGGCCACAAGGACGAATTTGCGCGTGGGAAACGTCTCGAAGACTTTGGTGAGGAGGAATTTGCGGATGGAGAGGGTAGCGGATATGTCTGAGAAGTTGAGGGGCCGGGTATCGAAGGAGCCGCCGGGGTAGGTTTTGTAGATAAAGTCCATGTACAGACGGGTGGCTTGCTCGGGGGTCGTGGTCAGGTAGTGGAAGTGAGTGTTGTTGGGGAGGGTGCGGGACCAGTTTGCGTAGATATCCGGCATGTTCATCCAGGGGGTGAAGGGGCGGGCGAAGGAGTTCAGGAGACCTTCTTTGGGGTCGTAGATCTTGGTTACGCGCAGGATGTCGTCGATGTCGGAGATGAAGGTTATGCCCTCGGAGGGGACGAGGAAGGCGGTGGCGTTGCCGCTGTTGGTGCCGTTGGTGTAGACGTTGAGGCGCTGGACGTTGTTGGTTTCGTTGCCGGGGATGAGGCCGTTGGATTGGATGGGGACGAAGACGTCGAAGTCGCCGAGTTCCGTGGTCTCGTAGGGGAGAGTGAGGTTCTGGACGCCGCCGGGGGCTTCGATGGAGTTGCCGCCGCCGGGCTCGCCGTCGCCGCCCTGCATGGGCGCGGGCTCGAGCGACATGGAGACATTGACGTCGCCTTGCTGGACGATGAAAATGGAGCGCGTCAGGTTGCGTGCCTGCTCCTTCTGGTTGTCGGGCAGCTCGGCAACGCTGGTGTCGATGAGGAAGACGTTGGCCAGGTCGTCGACCTTGTCCTGGCTGATATCCGGGAACTTGTACACATTGCCGTGGAAGCGCACGTTCCAGCCCTGGTCGGTCCAGTTGGCATAGGGAGGGATGTTGAGGACCTCAGTGGGCTTCGCAGCCAGGTCGTCGTCGCCGATGCCGAGGCTGGACAGGACTTCTTTGCCGGTGGGGAGGCCTTCGAACCAGCCGGGGATGCCTAGAGAGAAAGAGTCAGCACAAGCCTTACTAGTGCGAAGCTTGCCATGCAGGCGTTTGCTTACCCTCTGTGAAGAAGCTGGGCAGGTCAGTCCCCAGCACGCTGCCTATCGAGGCTGCGTAGTTATCCACGCCGCTCTTGATGTCGTCGATGATGTTCCTCTTCTCCACGTAGCTGTGCCGCCCTACGAATCGGATCGCCGCGGGAGTCACAACAGGCGCGCGCACCTCGACCTTGGCGGGGACAGCTGTCGGCTCTGGCAGCGCGAATGCATTGGCGAGGCCGAGTGTCGCGCTCAGCAGGAGAGCCCGCTGGGATGCGCGTTGGTGCACCATCGTGGTGGTGTTGTTGTGGTGGCAGGGGCTGAAGACCAAGGGGTGCTCGCGTGGTCGTCGCGTATAGGGAAATTAGAGTCGAAGCGACAGACTAAAGGGAATACAAAGAAATGCAGAGGACTGAGGAGAAGAGAAGAGGCAGACGGGTCGGGAAAGATGGCACGGCGATGGCAATAGTGGAAACACGCTTGCCGCGTTTCGCACGGGGCTAGACAGCAGGTTTGCGGTCAAATTGGTGGTGTTGGTTGCTGCAGGTACAGCCAGCATGATGTCATTCTGCATTGTGGCTGGGGGCCGAGCCACAATGCGTCGATCGCCTCCCGTGACCCACCCTTACCAAACTCTCCACACCGCAACACTCCTTCGGAACTCGGCAGTCGCAGGTTGATGGCGAGACATGTCTGGTACTAACGAAGGTTTTCATTGTTTTACATGCCGTTCGTAGAGACTACTCCCATGGTGCGAACGAAGGGTGATATGGAGTACTTGGAAGTAGCAGAGCTAATCCAGTGTGCTTCGTTCGACTCCCCAACGACGACCCAAGGCCCCAATAGCGGCATATCCCTCAACGCATCCCCCATATGATGGTACCCCTTCCTCAAGGGCCAACACATCTTCGAGTCGCCCAGCAGCGTGTCCATCGGCCACCCACCGCGTCGCCGACAAGTGTCCCATGCTTCCCTTAGCACGTCGTGCACCTTGTCGTTCGGAGCAATGTCCTTGATAATATGGAAAAGCGACCTCATGCACAATATAACCTGTTCTTGATCGCAATACCCCAGAGAGTTTGTATCCCAGTGTCCGGGGAGCGTGCTCGTCCAGCGTGTGCCAGATGGATGTCGCGTTTCTTCGCCGTACCACCCTATCATGTCTAGAGTGAAGTGCGGGAGTGTACTTTGGTAGGAGGTTAGGGGGAGTGCGACGCGGAGGGGGGCGACGGCGAGGGTTATGGTGGAGCAGATGGCTCTCTCGTCTTGTTGCGATATATGAGTCTTGGTGTTGTGGAGGAAGTGTCTATGCACCTTGCGCACAAGATCGGATTGAGCCACCAGGTCTGCGCGCTCAGAGTCGCAAAGTATTGTGTTTGTGTTGTCTGGTACGGGGATCTTGTATAAGGCTGCGTTTAGCGAGTCGAAGTCCGCGTTGAAGGTTATTGCAACGATTTCGATGAGAAAGCGACGGATTTGTTCGGTCTTGCATTCTGGTGGTTGTGCTTGCGATGGAGCGTGGTACTTGATCTCGCTTTCAGCGATCTCCGTGTACTCAGGTGGCGGGACTGATGGTATGTCTTGCTGCTCTCCTTGCGGTGTGTCTGATGGCGGAAGATAGGATATCTGGAAGCGACCTAGACGGCCCAGATCGAAGATCGGCATAATGGCGATGTTGAGGTATAATCAAGGGAGGTTAGAGTGAGACTGAAGAGGTAGAAGAGGGATGTTGTGCTTCTGCCAAGAGTGCGCTGGTAGAACCAAGGTTCAGGGTCGCCTTATTCAGCGAAGAGTGGGCCAGTACCAAGAACCGTTTTGACGACGACATAGCCTCGCGAGGAGGAAGTTGTCTCGACTATCATAATACTTAGAGACGACATGTCGAATTCGCGAAGCCGATACAAGTGGCTCAGGTCTAGTTAAGGTATACAACGCCTTCGTAGATCAAGTTGCGGATAGCGTATTCTGGACGTCTTCGGTAAACCGGCTGTGAGCTGTGAGCTGTGACGAGCAAACCTCTCGCAAACGTCTCCAAGCGCAGCCTCTTCCAACAATGAATAAGAATACCCCCGTCCGCACCACTCCCTCTCATCACCAGGAGTGGCCCCAGGCCTAACCGCGGGGAGGTGGGGGACAAGGCCCATAAAATACTCCCTAGATAATAAAGCTGCTAGCTAACTATAACAGAAAAAAAGACTATTGGAAAGGAAAGACGAACAAAGGAAAAGAAACTCAACTACGTACATCAATATCCGCACTAAACATACTTCTCAATAACACCATTCATCCGCCCCTCAAACGCCGCCAACACCTCCCTCCTCTCCCTCCGAGGTCTCCCGCCTCTCCCACGGCATCTCGTAGCCCACCCAGCGGAGCAGCGCAATGGCCAAAACGGCCGTGATCATGTGTGCCACGAAGGCGTCGAAAACGCGCGTGGCGAAGGTAGTGCAGTCGGACATGGTTAGGAGACAGCTAGACGTAGGTTTGTTAGTGAAAGTGATTTTGGTAGAAAGATAGGGTGGATGGGGTGGGGTTGCGTACCTAATCTCCTGTGTGTGGTAGCTGGAGAAGAGAAGAAAGGGTGCGAGGATGGGATTTACTACACTGTAGATGTGGGTCGGGCAGTCACGTTTGTGCGACTGCTGCATCCACGGTAAGGTTGTTGGCACTTTCGGTGGAGGGTTGAGGTGCAATTTCCTATCTAAGAGCAGATACGTCGTTGCGTAGGGCTCTTACCTTGTGGTAGCCGGCAGACGACAACAGCACCAAAATTTCAGCAGTAGCAACCGTTGAGTATCTTTGAGGTATGTATCACAGGTAGCAACAGCATGCATATATCCAGAAATGCTGTTGAGGTGTACATACTCTTGTGCAGCAATCGTCGGTTGCTGTAGAACACTGCGAATGCCTCCACGCTACGGGGAAATGTTCACGAGCTCGGTCTTACTCATCGAGCTTTCTCTTGGAGACGGCATCTCCAGAGCGCTTGCCTCGCGATAGCCTAGAGGCGACATTAACCTTAGAATGTTAGCAAGCACGTTTACTAGGCAGCTCTAACGTATACATTAAAGGCAGCAGAAGCATGTGAATTTCTAGCGATGTAGTTAAAGTATACATGATATTGTTCATCTTTAACGTGTCGCTGGAGAATGCCACGAAAAACTCTAGAGTAAATTATCGTGAGTAACAGTCATTGCACTTCACGTGGTATTATGTAGCAGCGACCCGCCAATAAAAGTATATGTTGCGCTCATGTAACAGTTAGTATCTAAGAGCTAAATGTAAAAGAACGCATCATTCCTGTGCGTGCGATAAGCGCAAAGTCCATACCATCTGGAGCGACCATCGCTTCGTATCTAACGCTCCCAAAGTTACCATGCCTTCTCTGCCCACTTCATATCGCTAACCGCTTTTGGCCGTACTAACTTCTTCATTGCTCCAGTAACTCGTGCAGGCGATCACCGAGAACATCCAGAGCATGGAACCAGAATTCAGGGCCTATCTCCTCGATATACGCATCCACCTTTGGCACTCGACGCTCCCCAAATCCCCAATTTACAGTCACGAGCTCATCGTCAGCATCCTCTTCTCCAACCTCATCGTCCGCCTGACCGTTGTCATGTCCACTACGCTCGCCACCGAGCTCTTCACCGGCGTCAACCTTGCTCTCAACCACCTCAAGCTCCTGCTTCTTGATCATGGCGTCCTGCTCAACATCTCCCTCCTGTGCCTCGGTAGAACGGCTTCCGACTAGCCTGTGATAGTCGAACGCGGGTGCCTCGTGCGGATCAGTATTGGTGTCTGCAGTCCACTGCCGAGCGTCGTTGATGGTTGCGAGAGTAGGGGCTTCGCCGTACTTATGCTCTTCGGCCGCCATCTGTTGGAAGTCGGCGATTTGCTGTTCCGTCATTGGCGTGTTTATGTCTCGAAAGGCAGATTGGGCTGCGACTTTGGTTTCGGCGCTCAAATGGGTGGAAGCGGTGTTCATGTGCTGCTTCTTGTTGCTGGCCTGCAGATCGATGATCTCGTCGGCGTTGGCGTTGCGTCGTCGCTTGAGGTCCGGGCGATCGGAACGGTCGGTCTTCGTCGCATGGGAGACTTTGTTGCTGTCGAGTTCTTGGACCTCATCCCATGAGGGTATGTCGAGGCCAAGTTGCTCCCAAACCTTGAATGCGGTGCGGGTGAGGTTGGTAGTTGTTAGCCCGTCTCGGTCGCCTTGCTCGGCAATCTCCGGGCTGATGGTATTGAAGTCGATGTCGCTCAAATGCACTCGATTACCAGCAGCGTTGCGGTAAGTCGCGGAGTAGGTTACTGAGATGACTTCGTCGTCTTTGGACTTTGCCATCGCCATCCATTTTCCGTCGAAGCTCAGCGGTTGACGTGTTTTGGCCTGTTCGTTATATTAGCCTCGGTGATTAAGAAAGAGACATCGCTACTTACCATGGCTGTCTCTGGATTTGTTGTGCTGGAGAAGATCGGTGTTGCGCGAGCGAAAGTTATCAATAGTGGTCTAATGTTGGATGATGTAGTGTTATCAAGGTTCGGTAGTAGCTTATGAGGCTCGGTGACCGTCGGTTAAGTGACCGTCAATTTGGTGGTGACCTTCGATTAATTGAGTGCCGAATTATCGCCAATTCGATAAAGCATATCAGGTGAATGCGAGATAATTGAGCGTAATTTCGTCCGTGCCCTAAATTGTGAGGTCCTCATAGGCTCATTTTGGCCTAGAGAGCAAGAGAGGATTCAGCAGAGAGGCGATGGCTACGTACACTACGGTATTGCCAAACTTCTACGAGGGTATAGATGAGTTGACAACGATTCCAGCAATGACTGCGTGTTAGTACAACATAAGATGATGTCATCCGATGGATCGAAGATTACGTGGTAGTGTTGTGCTTCTAGTCTACCTGAGCAGCCGTATATCTCTTACAAGGAACTTTGTGTCTCTTCCAGTCCTGCAGTTGACATTGCCGTTCGCAGTAGAATGCCGAATTGCATGCACCACACGCATTCAGTTCAGCCAACTTGAAGAGCCCAGGGCGGCCCTCGTTCTGCACGCGGAACGCGTAATGTGCATAGGGACACTACACAAGCCTGTTAGAAGAATCGCTTCATGCTTCACCATGATCAACGTACCCGTGGACTCGAACACACCATCGTTCCGTCACTCGCACCTTGCAGTCGAATTTTCTTAGCATCGGAGATCTGGCCCAAGCCTTCAAAGATCAAACCCAACTGTTCCCTCGCCAATGCCGCGGAGTTTTCTTTCTCGGCATCGTTTCCTGCGGCATATATTTCCAGACTCTTCTCAGTGGCTTCCTTTGCTTCCTGCAGCTGAGAGGCCTTGAGATGTGCTGATCCGATCAGGCACCACGCACCAGCAACGGGTGGTGACTCGGGCTTGTAGGCGCGCAGTCTAATACGCAGCATCTCTTTGGCGAGCTGAATGTATCTTTCACGGCCACTTGCGTTGTCCGCAGCTAGTTGTTGATGGATTAGACGTTCTGTTTCCCGGTCCACGGCATGGGCTTCCGCTGAGGTGACATCGTCGCGGAAGTCGGGGTGGATGGAGCTCGCCATGGAAGGCATGATGGCAGTTTTGTACTGAGTCGGGCGTTGGTAGGTAAATTTTGGTGTTTGTGAAGAGACTGGACGACAGCGTCCAGAGGCATGGTGGAAGCAGACCGCCTTCAAGCTCCTCTGCCGCTTGCGGAGCTGGCGCGCCCCCACCTCAACTTTCTTCTTCTTCTTCGGCGCAACGCGACCAACAGCATCGAGTTTCTTTGCGTTGCGCTTTCTTCACATGTTGTATCCGCGACCCAAGCGACTGCATGTCGCACACTGCGTTAGATGGCGGGCTTGTTTGCAAGGCTGTCTTGTCTGCGCGACTCTTTACTTACAACGCGCAACAAAGAGCGCGCCTGCAACGGAGTTATCGGTTCGCCAGCCATGCTGTAGTCTTCGCTTATTTCGCGAGCTTTTGCTAACACGAGGTTGCATCTGGGTACCTAGGTAGCCGGAAGACGAAAGAGTAGACGCAGTGGCGCTCTGCATCGATCAGGTTGGGCAGGCGGGCAGGCATGGTCTGTGCGCAGTTGCCTTAGATGTGCCACCGCCGTCCAGCATCCACCACGATGCTTACATGCTACTCGTTTCTAACAACCCTACAATCTTGCAATGAGATATCAGGCTGGCGATCAGTACTCGTCGTATCGCGATGATGCAGTGACGCACGCGACACGGTTCGCCTGCTCGCCATCGTGTCGCTTCACTCTGGCGACCGGTCAATACAAGTGGCGGAGTTGCCGGTAATGGACGATTGTGTGGCTGACGGCATGCACTTCGATTCGCCTGGTTTCGATTCCACATGCAGCAGCAAGCTTCATAGGTGCACTTACCGCATAGTCTCGATTGGATGGATATGCAGCTTAGCACGGCGCCCGCGTGAGGCTGAACATTGGCATAGGTAATCTTTGCCGCAATGACTTCCCCGCAACTTCCTAACGACCTTGTCTCTTTCACGACCGCCTAAGGACTTTCCAAGACCATGCAACGGCCGATGAACGACTGCGAGAGCCGCGGTATAGGTTGTACCCGCAATCGTGCCCAGGTCTGGTATTGTGTGGACTGTGCCTGTGAGTTCTGCGACCCGTGTTGGCAACACTTTTTGGCGCACCGTGGCGGGAAAAAAGGAAGAGATGGATCGCACGAGAAGGTAGAGTATCATGTGTATGCGAAACTTAAGAGCATACTGGATCCACAATACGACGAAGACAAAATGGAAGAACTCCACGAGGACGACCTGGCCACTACCTGGTTTGGTACAATTTGTTCCCTGATAAGAGCTCTTATAACTACTGACCTCTTTTCAGGAATAAAAAGAGACGACGATCCGGAACATTACGACAGCCTCCATAGAAGAGGCGACCAGTCAGACCGTCAACAATTTTTCGACTATGATGTGTATTCAGCCTTGTTGTGTAACCCGCTCAAAAATGGAAAAGAAAAATACCCGCAACTGGTATCTTTCATCGGCCAAACTAGTAACGGATCCATCAATTGTATCGTTAACTCTTCGAGACTAACCGCGCACCAGATGCTGGGAAAAGTACATTGATAAAGATGCTCATTCAGTTGCAAGGAACCGGTGGTCTGAAGGAACGCTATCCTTCTCCTGTTGTTGGCTTGAAGCGTCTAGAGCCACAGTCTGGACATGAGAGGCTCGGTAACGATCCAGTGGAGCACACTCCAACATCGGCCGACGTACATCTGTACGCAGACCCAATGAGCACCGATTCTCGAACACCTCTACTGTACGCAGACTGTGAGGGCTTAGAAGGCGGAGAGAATCCGCCGATCGGTGCCCATGAGAATCGTAGGTCGCGGTCGAATCCCGAACGCATCCATGCGCAACTGGGTGAAGGCCGTATGCGATCATTGGCATGGGCTACTGCAGATACTGAGAGGGCAAGAAGAAGATATATCGTGAAAGAGCTTTACCCACGCATTCTCTACACTCTTTCAGATGTTGTGGTCTTTGTTATGCATGGCACGAACTCCAAGTATGTGTAAGGTCTCCTATTGGGCTCTTTTTGCTTATAATCACTTAGAACATTCGAAGTCACAACTCTACAACCTTTACTGCAATGGGCAGAAGCATCATTGGAGACATCGGTTAATCAACCAACACTTCCACACGCCGTTATTGCACTGAACCAATGTGGGCCGAGCGCCAATCCATATGAATGGGACAACGAATCGGCAACAGACAGCTTGTTAGCGGCCAACAAACACTGCATTCATCCGAGACATGGACACCCCTTCTTCATCAGCCTCGTCAAAACCTGGAAAGAAAGAGGACGACGCGTCAGAAACATTCTGGAACTCATACAATGCTACTACTCCACATTTCAAGTTATACGCATACCACGCGGAGGTCGATATCGGCTATTGCACGATCAGGTCGATCGACTTCACCAAGTAATCACGAAATCGTGCGAAAGGTCCTTCAATACTCGGAAACGAGCGAACATGCTCTTCAAATCTTTTGAGTTGGATACGCATTTCCAGTCAGTGTTCAGTCATTTCTCACGGACACTCACTATGCCTTTCGACTTTGTTACCATGTCTCTGCGTAATAATCCGATACCCAATGATTTTGGTGGCCATATGCTTCAACTCGCCCTGGCCATAGAGGCCCACGACAAGCACATCGCGCTTAATACACCCGCTCTTGAGACGACGCGCAAAGCTACGCTCATATTCGATCGCATGGCTAGACTTGTGGCTTCTAGTATTTCTCTAGATTGTGTCCGTCATCGAAAAGGTACGTGACAGTTCTTTTGCATAGTTTTGCTTTGAGGGTCGGTATACAAGATGCTCATTTCGAGCGCCTGGCCGACACGAGAATGCCGACGCAGCAACTATGGCCAGTGTAGTATTATTGTAGCTCTGAACCTAGTCTCTGGTTACTGCCTTCTCCGGCGGGTGCTACTGGACTTCCGCCAATCGTTTCTCCCATTCCCCAATTATTCGTCTTTGCTACTTCTGACGCACGACAGGCTCTCCTCTAGATCACTTCGCTCATTACACGGACTACTGCCAGTTCTCAGTAGAGACGTTTTGGAGTCAACATCTCACCTGTGAATTCCGCAACGGTTCGTATCAATGCGTAAACGTCGCTGCCAATCACAACCCGAAAGGGCATCAAGACGCTAGAGGCAGAATAAAACCAGGCGAATTTGTGTCCAGGATCAACCCAGAAGGCTATCTACCATCTTGGAAGAAGGAAATTCGGTTGCAGATGCGCAACATCAATTGCGAACTAGAGAATGCCTCGCAACGAACCCCAAGCTATTCCAAGGAAGCTTACATGATGCAGATCCATCGCGACGACATGGTGAGCTGTTATGATGCTTCTTTGGGTTCAGCTGGTGGGATTTTGAGTTACGCCACATGCTTCTGCTGTCTTATGCAGTCACCTGAGCACGCTCTTCGTTGCGGTCATGTACTCTGCACGCAGTGTGTGCGAGCCCATGGACAGCCTCTGCACGACAATAGTAGCACGAGGTCCGTTATCAGACTAGACTGCTGCCCTTTACACCCGAAGAAAACAAATTGGGAAGTGCCATGCCTCATTAGGTTTAAGCCTGAACACGCGGGAGTTCGCCTCCTATGTCTTGATGGGTGAGTCAATTCTAGCTTCTATTGAGAGCTCTTCATCGCCCTTCAACCCCGGGTGAAGCAAGCAATGGCCTCGTATACCCATATCCATCGATCTCTACCCCCATTCCCTCTTTCAATTGCTCGACTTTACTCGAGACGCTGACATATAGAAAGTGGTGGCATCCGTGGAATCGTTGAACTCGAAGTGTTAAGAGCCCTCCAAAACCAAATTGGTGACAAAATTCCTATCCAGGCATTTTTTGATTTGATTATGGGGACGAGGTAAGATTCCAAGTAGTCGTAAATACCACAAGGCTCACACTTCGTAGTACTGGTGGCATCATTGCGCTAGCAATGGTTGCTAAAGCTTGGAGCCTTAGGCGCTGCTCTGATAAGTTCAGAAAGCTGTGCAGTACCGCTTTCACACCGCGGATGTTACACAACATCCCTTTCTTGAGACACCTGATAACGCTGAGGCTTGCTTCCAAGTATTCGACTGGCCCTCTCAGACAGACTTTGACGCGAGAATTCGGGCAAGAACATCTTTTCGGCAACTATGGAGAACGGAGCTCGTATCTTAACACAAAGGTCGCCGTGACCGCGACGGACAAAACCGGGTCTAAAGCGATCGTTATTGCGAACTACAGCCGGCCGGAGGGCGACAAGAAAAGACTACGCCCCGCAGAGTATGAGTTTCTGCGACCAGATCGGCCAAAGTTCGGCTTCTCTATCGCAGACGCGGCAGCTGCCACATCGGCTGCCCCCAGCTTTTTCAAGCCGTTCGAGCACGCTCATACCTATCGCACATACTTAGACGGCGCGCTTTACCACAACAATCCCGTCCGGCTCATGAACCATGAGAGAAAGCTGCTCTGGCCCGATGTAGCTGGTCAAGACCCCGATCTCTTCCTCTCCATAGGCACAAGTCAAAACAAGGCGGACGTGCAAGCCGGCCAGCCCGACTCGACAGCAATGGCTTCTGAGTTAAAGTAAGCATATTCAACGTTACATGTCTTAGTCTTCCGGGTTCTCAAGATGTGCCTCAACAAGCAGTTAAGGGGAACGTACTGATGAAGAAAGTGCCCGACAACCTACTTTTCACACGATGCCTCAAATCGTTTCTACAATGGTACGTCCTTCCAAGATTTGCTTCAATTGCGACGCGAAGACTTCTGAGAACTGTGCTGAACAAATTGGCAGCGAAACCTCATGGACAATATTCTCGACGCCGAGAAAGCGTGGGATAAGTTTCGCTCTGACATGTGCGCAACGAGTAGCCGTGCTTCGCGCTACGTGCGCATCAATCCGGATATTGGACGTCGTCCACCATGTCTGGACGAGGTAAGCGAGATTGGACATTTAATACGTGAAGTTCGCGCATCCATGAAGACCCCAGAAAGCCGTGCTCAGATTGCAAGAACTATGAACATACTTGTGGCTAGTTCGTTCTACTTCGAACTGCTCAATGGCCCTGTGCCGAATGACGACGGAACTTTCTCTTGCGAAGGTACGCTATCGTCACGGACGACAATCTGAGATACATCTGACTGTTGTACAAGGCCAAATTTGCTGTCGATTCGAGAACGACTCGCCTTACCTCTCGGGCCTAGGCGACTTCTTCGCAAAACAGCAGACAAGTAATTTCTCGACTTTTTTCGAGATTGAGTCTGATCTCGACCATCTCCATACCCACCAGGTAGGCCTACCGGTGATGACACCAATCCCCAGGCTAACCTTCCAAGATCCCTTTGAAGTTGCAGGTTATTTCGGAGATGCGACAACTGTTATCGTTTCAACTGCCTGTCATTATGATACGCGCAAAGAGGAAAGACTCAAAGGTTAACATCTCACTGCACATTCGAAGCCGCGATTCGGCCGCCGCAAAACACCACATAAGTGGTTTCCCGCGTGCGGTTATGAATGACAATCAGCAGAGGTGTGAGTAGCAGATACTGCGGCTATAAGCAGGGTGCTGATATCGTGAAGCTTCTGGCAGCACAACTTCGCCGAGTGTAAGAAGGGACTCGCCTCGCGATCATCACGAGTTACCAACTTCGAGCGAAATATCTGAGCTGGACGCACAACCGTCACGACCTGCAATCCCTTATAGAGGCGTCTCCGAACAGACTACCTCAGATAGCGCTGAGAGGTTATCGACTTACAGAAGGACGAGGCCGAGGTCGATCGATACCGTGACCAGTCATCAAGCCAGGCGACGACAGCCAGCAGTCGAGGCACCAACAGAACACATGAGAAAAACTCGTATGCCTCAAACGTCCACACGGTATCGACCGGCGGGTCATTCTAGCAGTGTGAAGCCAGTGGAATTACCTAGCAACGATGCGCCTGCACTCAACAGGCCATCGCAGCAGCCACAACGAAGAGGCAATACATCGCATGTCGCTACCACTTCTACTGACCCGTCTGGAATTTTGCAGACGCATGACTCACATCAACCTCGAGGGCTGCATAGAACAATGGAGATTGGCCGTGCACCAGCTACCGAAGGGCGCGCTCAACGACACGTGTCGGACACTCAACCTACAAGCAACACTACTCGCGTCTCAGATACCAGACGCATGAGCGATCAGTCAAGTATGCGAACGACAAGACGGCCTCCCACTCTGGGCGAAGCACAAACTTCAGACAGCACCAATCAAGCACGGCCGATGCCGCTGCCTAGATCCAGAGGCACTTCATACCAAGGACCGTCGCGCCCCAGCTACGCAGAGACGCAGCGACGACAGCCTTTCCTGAATCCAATGCCATCTTCTCTCAATCTTCCTACCCTAGAGCGCCCTCCTAATACACCGTCTCCAGGCATGTCTTCGGAAGCGAGTGCACCGAGCGCGCAAGCACCATCTCCCTCATCAGAAATCTCCGATTATGAGGATGGCCCGCAGCGAGAGAGGCAGTCGCGGGTTTCGCTGAGACATATGGCTTCGGTGGTGTTTGGTAAAAAAGACGATGGGAGTGAGGTGTCAAAAGCGTCTTCGCTGGGGCGGAGGAGGCGCCATCAATGATATTTGCCGCATGATAGGCTTAGCGATGCGCAAAGAAGACCGGAGTGAGCCAAGTTCGTATGTGTTTGTTGTGTTGTGTGGATGAAGAAGGGCCGTCTCATTTGGCGATGGCGACGTCAGCGTCCGCCGAACTCCGCGCTGGCAACTACCTGTCGCCGAATTGTTGTACAACCACAATCTATCCTCCAAGCAGTTGCACCCTTGGTAATTCATATTCAAGCAGCAGCCTAGTTCTCGAACTCTTTCCCTGGCTACTTTTTACCCATCATGCGCGACAATACGCGCCACCTACATGGGGACAGGTTCACCATGATCGTCGCTCAGCATCTCCGCAAACTTTCTAGCAGGGCGTTCGTCCGCTCGCTTGCATAATGTGAACGTGGGCGCATCATCGGTGATGTATTCCGGGTCTCTAAACTCTGTTCTCAACGGCCAGCCTAATACCAGCAATCAGACGAAATATGCACGATGGTGCTGTCGGACGTCTTGTAGCTAACGAGAGTTCAGAGGATATCAAGGTGTCACAAGGCGACGGCATTTTACAATGTCGATGTCGCCATCAGGGTCCGCGGGGAGATTGCGCTAAGATTATTGCCGGCCGTAAATCCGACCCGGAGTCTGCCCGGGCGGCGGTGTGTGGAGTCGACTTTTCCTCCCCTCGCCATACATAACAAGCTCGCCAACCTTTACCATGGCGGCAAGATCCATCCGCTCGTCTAGCTTTGTTGCAGCATATCTTTTAGGGTACCTTCAGCTGGTATATCTGCACTACCCCGCGCCTCCTTCGCCTGGGTAGCTTTCTCAATTTGGAGTCCGCCCTGTCATGACGACATCTTCGATATAATACCACCGCGAGCAAATACCCGTAGCGTACCAGCCCAAAGCCACGCCTCCGCCATCGTCCAACCATGTCTTCAGAATACGCGAATAGATCGTGGAAGTCGCGTGTACTCCGACCCTCGAAGCGCAATGCCACGTCCAACAACGATGCGATAACTCGGGAACCCACGCGACAGTCGCATGGCACGGCAGCCTCGAGCAAGACTGCTTGGTGGAAGACACGCCTTTTCAGTGGCATGATAAATGACATACGGCGGCGAGCACCTTTCTACTTGAGCGACTGGAAAGATGCGTGGGACTATCGCGTCGTGCCTGCGACAGTCTACATGTACTTTGCGAACATTCTGCCAGCACTCGCCTTCTCGCTCGACATGTTCGAAAAGACCAACGAGAGCTTTGGCGTCAACGAGGTCCTTCTCGCCTCAGTCCTGGCTTCAGTCGTCTTCTCGCTCGCAGCAGCGCAACCTCTAGTCATCGTAGGCGTCACCGGCCCAATCACCGTTTTCAACTACACCGTATACGACATCATCACCCCACGGGGCACGAACTACTTCGCCTTCATGTGCTGGATAGGCATATGGTCCCTGATCTTCCACTGGATTCTCGCAATCACAAATTCCTGCAACGGCCTACGATACGTTACGCGCTTCTCCTGCGACATATTCGGGTTCTACGTTGCATTCATATATCTACAAAAGGGGATACAGGTGTTGACGAGGCAATGGGCTGTCAGTGACGCGTCGGCATACCTTTCGATTGTGATTGCGTTGCTGGTCACTGCGGTCGCATACATCTGCGGCATCGTAGGACAGTCGTCGCTACTGCAGCGCCACGTTCGCAAGTTCGTCGAGGACTACGGTACGCCGCTTACTGTGATATTCTTCACTGGCTTCGTACACATCGGAAAGATGGCTGGCATTGAATTGCTCAAGCTACCTACTTCGAAGGCATTCTTTCCCACTACTGATCGCGGATGGTTCATCCACTTTTGGGATATAAGTGTCGGCGATGTATTCCTGGCTATTCCGTTCGCTGTACTCTTGACGATTCTGTTCTGGTTCGATCACAACGTTTCTAGTCTAATCGCGCAGGGCACGGAATTCCCGCTGCGCAAACCGGCAGGCTTTCATTGGGATATCTTTCTCTTGGGCATCACAACTGGAGTTGCGGGATTACTGGGCATACCCTTCCCGAATGGCCTCATCCCGCAGGCGCCGTTCCATACTACATCGCTTTGCGTTGCACGCACCGTCGCCGATTCCGACGACGAAGACAACAAAGGCCATGGCAAACGCGTTGTCGACCATGTGGTAGAGCAGCGCGTGTCAAACCTCGCTCAAGGCCTCCTCACCCTGGGCACGATGACCGGGCCACTTCTCATCGTACTGCACCTCATACCACAAGCTGTACTAGCCGGCTTATTCTTCGTCATGGGTATCCAGGCACTAGAAGCAAACGGCATCACACTAAAACTCATCTTCCTCGCAAAAGACAAGCACCTCACATCACGATCCGACCCATTAGCACAGATCAAGCGGCGCTGGGTCATTTGGGCTTTCGTCGGACTCGAACTCATCGGCTTTGGCGCCACTTTCGCGATTACACAAACAATTGCCGCCATTGGATTCCCGGTTTTCATCTTCCTGTACATACCCATGCGGACGTTCTTGATGCCAAACTTCTTCACGCAAGAAGAGCTAAATATTCTTGATGCGCCGACTGCTAGTCCGTTTACCATGGAATCAGTGGGTGGTAACCATGGGCAGGTCGTAGAACCAGACCCGAACGAGCAGGTTCTTGCGGAGAGTGAAGAGGCTGAACGAGGGGAAAGGCGAAGTAGTAACGATGAGAAGATGGGTGTTCTTGAAGGGCCGAGTCGGAGGAGAGGCAGTTTCCAGCGGGCGGACTAGTCGGAAGACTTAAAGAGCAGTTAGTAAAGTAGCCGGAGAAGGCCACAACGGCAGCAGAATCTATGGGCCTATGCAACGTCTTGAGAAGCGAATGACAGAGATTTTCGGTTGAATACTACACTAACTGCACATGTAGACATATCGCGCGATTACTCTCTTGGCGCGTTGTAATCGATGGCTGTGGTTCGGAGCGGAAAACATACCTAATCGCACCCAGCTG